AAAAATAAGAGTATAAAGGCGTGGGTCTGATACGAAGGTGTAGCATGGGCCTCCCAAGCCCTATTCTTTCTTCTAAGTAGGTAACAACTGAATGAGTATTAGTTTCTCCTGTCAGTTGTACGTCTTACGCAATGCACTTTGTTCTTTTATGCTTATTGCTTTTCCCCTACTAACTTGTGCAAACATCAGCTTTCTCTTTATCCCTCCAGTCCTGCATCTTTAAAAATTGTATGTTTACAAACAGCCAGTTCCTTATGATGTAACACTTCCAATTTTCATATAATCCCTTTGTTGTCAACTACCTGCAGCAAATCAGTCTATTCAAGCAAACAAGCTCTCATTGCATTTATGTCAGTCCCATGTTGTTTTTAAGAATCCAACACATCTCTTGATCTCACAGTATACAAACTGTCACTTCCTCCACCAGTGAATCCATGAAAATCAGCAGAACAAAAATAACAGTGACACTGAATAATTCAGTAATACACCCTGACAATATCTGCTAAACTTCTGTCAACGCAGCCTACCTAGCTGTTGCTAGAGTGCACGGTGAAACTGGCTTTACAGTCCCAGGGACTATTATTAGTCTGGGTTTTGGATACTTAACACCTTTTGCAAGAACAGAAATAGAACAATAGACTAATATTTTTATCATAATGATGTTACAACTAGAGGGATAAAGAGTATTGTGACATTTCATCACACTTGATGTAAGAATGATCAACTCCACTAGGCCAGCCTTGTCTTTGCTGCTTGGATTTATGTCCATCTCCTCTGCCACACTCACAAAACTCTGTGAGAGCACACTTACGAGGTAACCAAGGAGTTATATAATTTATAACCCAAATGAAAATATTCAGGCATGGTACAGAAGTGGGTGGTTGAAGATACTTTGCTGAATGATTCAGTCATTCCTTAGACAAGAGAGGAGAAGTAAACCATAAAGCTGAGTCCTTGAGGTGAAGGAAAGACACAGAGCAGCTCATATAAGTGGAGCTACTGCTGTAGCACCTTAATACGAAGGAATGAAGCACTTCAGCTGTTTTGCTCAAGCTTGAAAAATATTTTGGGTTTTGTATGTAGGATCTCCTTAGCTTGTGAAAGAGGATAACAAGAAGCACTTATCTCATGTTTGGGCTTTCTACAAATTGGATCTAATGTAGCAGAAATATCTTTAACCCAGATCAAAAAGTGAGTAATCTGAGCAAAGCTAAACAAATTCAAAGTCAGTTTTTTCACAGTATCTCAATACTAGAATAATTTATGTATGATTATAATGTACGTGTAATCATGCAAAGCCTTTGAATCAAGACTGAACAACCTCAAAAATAAGAACTGCTGTACCTTAAGCAGAGTTAAAGATACCATATTGAAAAATTAAGATGGTATTTGGACTTCATTATACATAATGTTTTCTGATCTGTGAGTCTTTGTCTAGTTGCACAAGACTGGAATAATGGGTCTTCCTGTTTTGATCTAGCTGTACTTTTAGTCCTTGGAATTTTTCTGTAATGCACAAATTAGGATGGAAAGTTAGCTATTCCCAGTAGAAGAATATATAATTGAGATTGAGGCTTAAAAATGAAAGATTATCTTTGATTATAATTTTGCTTTTGCCCTTCTGGGTTCATGCTGTCCTCATAGCAACTGTGCATTATTCTATAAAACAATTGGCATGAAATGTTTTAAGGTATTTTAAAAGAAATTACCTATGGTCTCTTTCATGTTTGCTTTCTCCTCATCCTTGCTTTGCATTGTATTTGGCATTTTGTGTGGTGCAGATGGAGAGCACTTCGTTATGGGCAAAGCTGTTCTTTGAAAGACAACACATGGACACTCTAGAGTAGTAGGATGTATTTTATTTATTGTAGACTGGGCCATACATAAATCAGAGAGAGGAAAAACTGTGAACCTTAAGGTCCCGTTTTTCTGTGTAGAGAAAGTGATAATTTCCACTCACTTGGAACACTTTACATCAGCTTCAGGAGGGAAAGAATGAAATTTGATTGTAATGGACCTGAAGATGAATGCTATTTCCCATTTTCTGCCAAACAAGTATTAGTGATGAAAAACTCTTAATATTTGACCTTGAGGAACCTCTTGAATACCCAGCTACCGAATGCTTTTGGCAAATCCCTGGCTGAAAAGCATCTATTTCTAAACAAAACTTAAGAAATTATATGCCACATACAGATAGCAACTAGAACATTTTTCAATGCCACAAGAGTGTGGTTTTCTGTAACCTCAGTAGTTAAGCAGTTTACAAGGTGGTGTGGACACTCAAAGGTAAGAAGGTCCATACTGGAGATTTCAGCCATGTTCAGTGGCTGCAAATACAATGGTGCCAGAGGAAGACTTAAGACTTAAGCACTTCCTGACCGACAAGAAGTGACCAACTCTACACATCAAGAGATAGTTTGACAGAATAGTCCATTGGTGGCAAAGTTGTCCCCACATTCTCACTTCTGTACCCTCAACGTTTCAGTATAATTAGCTGCTGAGTCAGGGAACTGAGGCAATTAAATTTAAGAGTTTTTTTTGAGGTTAGCTTCCTCAAGGGACTCTTAAGTCAGTGCTGTTACCAGAAGAAATGCTTACCAAGGCTTGCTGACCACGCACCTGTACAGATCCTGGGAGTGCCTCCTCAGTTTTGCAAGCTAGGTTAGCGCCAGCTGCTGTTGAACTAAGCTGGTTGACTGCTCAGAGCTGAGCAGTGAGAGGCATGACTTCCAACAAAGCAGTAATAATGACTGTTGGAAATAGCACCATCATTAACTGGTGTGGTTAGTCCTAAATTCCACTCAGCAGAGGGTAAGCACTGAGGACAGAGACAAGACAACAGGAAACACTATCATCTGCATAGAAAAACCTACAAAAGGTGGGATTTACCTACAGACATAGGATTTGAGAATAATACCTTTAAAGGCTTAATTTGATTATAAAGCATGGAGGTCAGAGTTTCTGTAAATCCTTTAGAAGGAAAGAAAAATTAAGAGGTATAGCTTGCTGACTCAAAACAAGAACTCAGTTCCTTGAATTCTTAGTTAATCAAGCTTCTCAGATAAAGACAGTACTGGTTACCTTGAACCACTTGGCGTAATTCTATGCTTTTGCAATTTGTTTTTATCACAATAAGATCAAGGCAGTTGGACATAGAAAACATGTTTCAGTTAATTCTCCTAGACTCTGAACCAGGTTGACATCAGCCTAAAAGGAAAAAAGAAAAATGCCTGGTGGTCCATAAAACAAGTTGTTCTGCTAAACAGGTACTATTTGAAAGGAGAAAATCTCACATCCCCACAGAATATTATTCATGCAAGTGGTAACCCATTAGTGTAAATCATCTCTAGACAGCTATTTATGAGATACAGGAGATAATGGTTTGGCTGCAAAACATTTCTGGAGAAGGAAAATATTATGAAAGAATGGAGAAACATGAAATCCTATTGTTGTAGTGTCTGATGACTCTCGTGTACTTCAATAGGGTTCACATCTCCTTATTCTGTAATCTGTTATTTACAAACTGCATGGAAGAATCCTGCATGAAAACCTAGTTGTAGGCAAGGGAAGTTGTACCGTACACAGCTGCTCTAATAATTAAAATTAAAACAGAATTAAATACCAAACCTACTTATTTTAGGTTATGTTTCTACTAATTCCATCTACTTTAACATCCAGAAGTAGGTTAAAGTTAAGCTAGTGGATTTTTTTATACTCTTGTTTTGCCTAAAATACTAGATATATTCAGATAATCACTTTTTAAAAATCCATTTTTTTTACAAGAACTATTAAAAAAAAATGCCTGAAGCACTATATATATTACCTTTCACAAGATGGTGGCTTGTTATTCAGTAAACAAGAAAAAGTTGTTCTGGCCCCTATTTGTACTTGAGTGCTTCTGCTAAAAGATGTAACTTGATAATAACTACTTTTCTTTTTTAAAAAAAAGCCCACTACACATTTACTTTCGCTTTCTAGCTGTAACGGACCTTTCACAAAAGCCATTTGCTCTCAAGTAATTTATTTCCTTGCAAAATACAATCTACCACATAAAACACAAACCAGCATGTCTCCTGATCGCTTGCAGCTACTACACGATTTGATGTTACTGTAAAGTAGGCATGAAAATCTGAGGTGGAAAACATAAGGTAGTTGGATCATATTCCCTTGAAATACCCCAATTCTTCTGCAGTAAAAAAACTTACTAGGGATTCTAAGGTTTTGCCTTGTTTTGAAGTTCATAGGAACTATTACACCAGAACACAGAGTAAATGCTCCAACCTAAGGATCTTCTACCAGCTCCCCTTGGGAAAAGCATGGCTGAGGAGTTAGTGTCATTAACCAGCAGGACAGTGATCTCATTTCAGCATCAGGGATGACTTACAATGGTAAAGCATTTAATATTAATATGTAAACTCTCTCAAGTGCTTTCTAAAATGTCAATTGCCCCTCCCCCAATTTACAAAGCATTATTTTATAACTACTGTATTATGCAACTGTTACGAAGTTATGTTATAAGCAGTTACAATGCCTTTGCTACAGGCTGAATCTGTAAGAGCTGACTGAGCAATGGGCTGTTATGGGGTGCCTACTTAGGATACATCAAGCTAATTTTTCTAACGCACCTTGCCAGTATCTTATTTCAGATAAACAATCGGTATCAAGAGCTGTAGTGCTGATGGTTCAAGAGGAAGCAAAGTAGGCAAATACAGTAGTTTCCAGAGTGGGAGAAGAAAGGGGATAGCAAGGCAAGTACAGGCATTACATACTTGATTATATTTTGTCTCTTCTTAGACTACAGTCACCATCAGATGGACATGAGATGTTTAAAGTCTTTTAGATTTAATTAACACATTCCTAATTTCCCTGCTGGAAGCAGGCAGTCATTGCAGTACTAGAGGAATAACTAGAAATGTCATTCAGCATGAAAACGCTCAGATCTACCTCCAGTAAGTTTCCCTACATACATTTCAACACCTACTTTTCAGGAGAGTGTAATGATTTACACGCTATTCTTAAGTATAGGCGTTTCAACAGCAGATTAGTAACAAACTGCCAAGCTATATGTGCCTGTCAACAATAAACAGCAGAGCTGTTGCTGTCTTTGGACTATAACAGTTGCCATAAACAGTTTAATAAACACTGTTTATTAAAAAAATACATATCTGAAGTCAGTAAGAGACCATGAGTAAGTATAGTGTAGATTTTACACATTCAGCTGACTTCAACTGTTAACAGCTTTAAAAACAGGAAGACTAAAACCTCAAGTCTATGAATGTCTGACAACAAATTGTGTAATCCTGGTGCATCGTTTTTGGCGTTGTTAAGTCTGGTCTTGATACCTCAGTGTCAACATCCATCAGGTGCAACCGCCGCATGCTCCTTCATTCTGTGGCTTTCTGTGGAAGTATGTGCAGATCTTCCTCATGGAAACTGAAGTGGTTGCAGCCTAGCAAGAAACAGAAACAAAAAACAACATGAAACATTTCTAGGTTAACATTCATATGCTGCAGGAGTCTCAAAGTCTCCCCTCCATCATTGCTCCAGTTTGTTCAGCTTCCCAACTAAGTTAGTAAATGAAAGGTTCTTTGCTACAATCTGTCTTACAGGTAAGACGCTTGTTACCTATAGGAAACGCTGTCTAAATCCTAGGGTTGTCCTACTGCCACGAGAAATGCACTTCAGCTGAAGTTTCAGCTTCCCTACAGCAGATAAGAGAGCTGCAGATTGCCAAGATACAGGAAATTCAGTGAATGCTGCTGGGTACTCCCAGCACCTCCTCAGGCTATGAGCACAACACAGGAGAATCCCAAAATCTGAACTAGAGCATAGTGGGCAGGAAAGGTAATTATACTATAGTAATCTCTCTCCAGGGCAAAACTTTCTGTCTTGTGTTTAAACACGTACAGCATAAAGCACAAGTAGTTGTAGGTTTCCTATAACCAAGACTTGGTACAGCCACAATACGAAGAGTCCAGCTGCTAGGAATAACTTAAGGAGTAGTGGCTTAACCATGTCATATCTGATAAAAGTGTTGGAAAAGGTGAAGTCGGGTAAGAAATGAGATACCAAAATAAGCCTTAACTTCTAGCATCAGATATTCAATTGAGAGTACAACTAAAATTTGATGGCTGAAAATTTACCTGACATTTACCGAAATACGACTCAAAGTCACCGAGACGAGCCAAGTTTGGTCTGTTTCAGAAAAATATAATTTCCTAGTTTGCATGTTAAAACCTCAAGCCAACTTTTTCAGCTGCTTTATAAGCTAAACTTTCATTTCAGATCCTAGGATGAGCTTTGTGCCAGGCTTCCCCATACATCAAAAGCAGGATTATGTAGGTCAAATCCTGCCCTCTCTTGTTTTCTTTTCCTTTGTTTTCTAGTTTTCCATTGAAGAAACTGAAGGCATTATTTAACCCCACAGTTATAACATGGGTAATAAATTCTTTTGCTACCTGAGTTAGAATTTAGCTCTTTCCTCTGATGCTAAAAGTGGCTTTCCAGTAACATAAACAGGCAGATGTGACTGTGGACACATACATAGCAGATCTGCCAGGGAAGGTGATGTCATTATTGGGCCTCTTAGAGCTGTGTTCAAGATGATGGAGACATTCTTCCAACATCTAGCTGGGGACTGCAAGGATCTCTGAGCTCCTGTGTGTCCTAAGTCCCTTTAAAATAGGGATACCACTATCCTAAAAATTCAGTTCCTGTATGGAGGGAATTAGTAGATAACAGCATTAATGTACCTGGTTTATTAGGCCAGAAATCATCCCTTTTGTCCATAGTCAAAGGGATCAGATAATTCTTTGAGTGTCCAAGGAAGAGAGAACAAACAAGGGAGGACTGACAAGTAGGGATAACTTCTTTCATGACAGTTGTTGCTGAATGCCCTACTTACAGTTTTTGGTGAAGTGGCCACTGCCACAGACTCTTGTCTTTTGGCAACAGGACTGCAAGATGATGGGGAGCTGTCTGACGTGCTCTGGCTGCCAGGTCTGCCAATCCGTAGCTTCTCTCCCAGAGCAGACAACCAATTTTTTCTTTCAGGAGAACTATTCTCTTTATCTACTACCTCAGTGCCTTTCCCACATGGGGATCTGAAAAGATGGGGGGAAGTTTGAACACCTGATGGATTAATACGGCTTCCAGAAAAGGAAGGCTCTTTTGGGCTGTGGCTGGAGCCTTCGTAGTCATTACCCAAGTCAGCCTGGCTGAGACAGTCTTCATCACAAGCTTTTTGGTCTGGAATCAAGTGACACAAATTCAGTTTGGATTTCTTAGCTCCATGGTCCAGTTCAGTCACACAGCTACAGGCCTGCAGACACTTGTGCCCCACATCATCCTCCTTGCTGCAGTCAAGCCTTCTCTTGGCACGCTTTTCAAACTGCGTGTGTGGTGCTTTAGGAGGGCAGGCAGCTTCCAGGAGACCTTGGGTGACTTCTGCCAGGGCTTTTCTAGGAGAAGGAGCCTTTTTCCCCACTTCTGGAGGAGAAGAGCATGGAGTCCTTGTAACCCAACGTTTAATGGACATTTTGGAGGAAGAGATCACTTTGGGAGATGCACATGGGCTGGCTTCAGTCTGCTTGGCTGGGGTGGAGGCTGTGGCTGTCTGGGATTTGAGAGCAGCCGTCGGAGTGTTTGTTGACAGCGGAAGGTCTCCAGAATAAATGGGAGCACAGGCAGCCGGCCGTGGTGAGGAAATACATGCACTGCCCACTGTGAAGGCCTTGGCAGGAGTATTCTGTGGGCTGGCTGGCTGTCCTGAGAGGGGAGAAATAAGTAGTCTGATGAGGAACGCAGAACAGCAGATTAAAGACAGCCCTGTTATAAACCCCCTTCCAACTAGGAGATGAATTCGGTGCTGACCCTGTACCTCAGACACACCATTTTTAACTATGAAATTGTATAAAACCCTCTAATTTCAGCTAGAATATAAAATCCTATATCATATTGATATGTATAATACAGTACATTTCTGCAATATTTGACATCTATCCCTTCTGTAATGAGCAGTCTTACATGAGCTACAGCCAAAATGAACAGACAAAACAGACCTTCCAAGCCTATCTAGCCTTGTTGGAGCCTTGCACTGATTTGGTCCAGAAATGCTGGTCTCCACCTGCACTGCAATCTTTAACTGCTGCATAACTGAGTTGAGGGACAAAGGTACTGTAAGTAGGTCCTACAGCTAATTACAATACCAAGGAAGCCTTACACTATGATGCCCTACTATATGAATAATGCACCTAGTCAGGTGTTAATAGTTGCATATTTTAAAAATGTTAGAAGCGTGAGAACTTTCATTTTCTTGTCTTTTTGCTGAAGGATTTTCTGCAATGCTATGTTAGTATGGACATGGTAGTTATTTACCACATCAAGGGAAATGTGAGAAATTCTTCACCTCATGAACAAGGACTTAAATTCCAAAGGAAATAAAATCTGTCACTGCAGTAAGTTATTTCTTTAAAACAAATGATACCCAAACAGATATTTCACAGTGGCTTTTGAGCTCATTAGCCAAGATGTAAACACCTCTGCTTGTAAAAAAGAAGTTCTGAACATCCAGCTTCTTAAAACAGTAGTCATAGATAGGGCCATAAGGACCTCACTAGCAACAATGTGAATCATATAAAGCAAACATCTTGGTCTGCAGCAATATTAGAGGGGATTCTTTAAATTTTGCTTTTGTTTTTTTTTTTATTTCCAGCCCACTCCAACAGAGAACACATTAGTGGGTTTGTTAGATGCTTGCTTTCTCATTCATCTAACTTGCAGTGAAATTAAACAGCATAGTGCCTTAGTTACTTTATGCTCTTCCACTGCTGAGCACAAGAGCACTAAACATTTCCTGTATACCAGTCTGAACTCCTCTTACACAGCATTTGCACTGTACTATAAAGCACTTCATTAGAACAACGAGAAGCCTAGTGTGAATAACCTGCCATTCTCTTTACGGTGCTGGGCTGTCTCACAAATAACATGTTCAGTGAGAGACTCTTTGATTATATACCATACTAAGCCTCTTTTGATCCTTCCTTTTACTGTATTAGCTAGTATCCAAAATACAAGTAGTGCTGCATCAGAGCAAAATTAAATAAGATCCCATATTAAAAGATCCTACATTAAAGGATCCCACTACAAATAACTTTAACATTCAGAATAGAGTTAAAGGCTCCTTTCCTGATAAAATATGCTACTTTGTTACAACTTGCTTCAATCTGGACTAAGAGAAAGTAACTGCCAAGATTGTTTCTCTTCATCTTTACTTTAATGAGCACTTACAAGGCAATAATAACTCAAATGGGGAATTAGTTGCATTCAAAAATCTAAGCTCCTAGAGGCAGAAGAAAGTAGTAAGCTCAGCAACTCTTGATCCATAATGACCATTACAAATTTATATAGCAGAAATATTGCATGACTAGTTGGATATGAGCATTTTCAATCCCAAACCAGTCTGAAAGCTATGCTTTGGTCATGTTGGATAATGGAAAAAGAGCTACCCTGGGAACTGGATTAGTGTCATGGCAAGAAGCAAACACAAATTTGAGATAAAGAATATGAAGATCAGGCTTTTCTTTCCCAGACTGAGTGCATGATTCAGGCTTCTACTAAGCCAGGTTCAAGCTGGTTCCATTTATGCTGCCACTACACATAGTACAATACTGTAAATACCTGCAGTCAATCTGCATCACACCAAAGCAGGTTATTTCAGAAATTTCCTACGTTCTCTGCCACAAATCTCCTAGAGTGATATTATCAATCTCCAGATTGATAATCTCCAAATTGTCCATGTACAGGTCTGCTCCAGAAATTTGGGTACTCAAAAATATAGAGAAAGTAGTACACCTTAGAGAAACCACAGAAGTATTTGCCTAAGCAAAGGAAACTCTGCTTGCTACCTTTGACGATATAGGTCAACAGTCAACATCCACCCTAATCCTCACAATTTGTTCCACAGAAATGGGTGGGGAACTACCTAGATTCATTCCAGCAGGTCTGAAATAGTACTTTGCTTGCCAGCTCTGAATCAGTCTCTGCAGATAACTCCCATATTCTAACAGCACGTGCTTTGTGTTCAGGAGCCAAGGTCAGCAGGAAGCCTGTTGTTGTGTTTGCAGTGTCTCTGTTTCCTCTTCCCTCCTGAGTTACTTTAATGCAGCAAGAGTAAGGAGAAATAAGTCATTTTTCCAGTATAATTGCCAAAGGTGACTTGTAAAGTTTTAGTGTACAACTACTTTAGGTTCCATGCTTCTGGACTAGACCTATGCTTACCTCTCTTTTGCTGAAACTATTACACAAAGAGATTTTTGAGCCTTCTCTGAAACAGAGTGTGCGCACACACAAACCATTTACCAGCTATGAAGCAGACCTGGCACTCTCCCTCCTATTGTCCTGCAAACTTCCTGCTAGACTTGTTACTCACTGGCAAAAGGTTAGAGGTAATGCTATCCCATTAGTGGGATTTGAAGACCTTCAGCCTTTATTTGTGATAGCCAAGCTGAAATTCATTTGGAGCGTGGCTAGAAAAGATAGCTGGAATGCAGGAAGTCACACCAGCAGCTGCTGGGAAGCTATTGTATTCTTAGTTTCAGAGCTACTCTACAGAGAACTTCATCTTATTTCACTTTGGAGGGAGGGTGGTTATTTTCCTTTCACCTACTCTACTGCAATAAAATGCAGGTTTCAGACAAATCAAAGTAGTATTAAGATCCAGGATTCCATTCTTCTGGTCTAGGGTGCTACCTACCTGGTGACTACTTTCTCTGCAGAGCCCAGATACATTTGCTAGCTGTGAGAGCATGCTGCATAGCTTGCCTGATTGCCTAGGCTTTGAGGAAAGGTACTGCATTTGTTCACTAGCCTTAACACGTGGATAGATGAACTGACTAATTATGAAACACTAGAGTCATATCATGATTGTCTATATGCATTTTTAAGTACTTTTCACTACACAGCATTAGCCTGCATACAGTCAGTACCACCGATTGAAGCTGAAGAGATACAATACTAGTATCTGCAGCAAAGAAATCTATGCACAATTGAACTAGTGGGCAGGAGGAAACAGTTCAGAGTTCCAAGGCTGTATGTGTGCTGTCAGACCTTTACTGGGTAAACTGGAAAAAGCATATGATCTTACTGCTCTCGGTTATTAACTGATATTAAAAAAAAAGGTGTGACTTGTTGCTACAGTGACATCTCCTTTGGCTGTTCCATTATTGAACCCTGTTGAAACCCACTGAAGATCTGGCTGCCTGAGAAACTGTATCAACGAATATTTGCCTTGTGGTCTGGTCATACAAACTAGGCCATACTTGTAAGCTCTTTCAGCCAGCTTGTCTTGTTGATGGCAGAAGTATTTACAAGTAGAAGTGTTTGTCTGGCTATATGAATTATTGCCTAATATGAAAAAAAAAACCCCAGAAGAATAATAAGATAAGCCAAAGGCTTTTGTTGGTAGAGAAAACAGCCAAAACTCAGAAGCCACGTTGCAGAGCAAAACAGCTCAGGGGCCTTACCTGCTCCACGCTGTTCTTCTGTTTTTTTCTGAGTGACCCAGCCCACCAAATTGATTTTTCTGGATGCTGATTTCTCCTCCTCAGGAAGACGTCGTAAGCGCCAAATCCTCACAGTGTTGTCATCAGAGCATGTGGCAATCTATGGTATAAATTGGTTTATATTAGGGTATCCAAGGCACATCCTATAGATGACTGGCCAAGTGAACTACAACAGCTATGTTTGACACACCATGCCAATATGAACGATGCTGAAGCCTGGTTGAGGGGGCACCAGATTTGACCATAAAACAAAGAAAATAACTCAGCTCTGTTTCATTAGCATACCAGAGAGCAGGATTTGCTTTAAAACACACAAGGCTGCCACATTCATATCTTTCTGCTAGAGAAATCTCAGTCACCATCAATAGTTTGCCTTGCAGTGCTCTGCTCAGGAAGTCATGGCACATTTTGAGTTTTCAATCACTCAGAACACAAAAGCAGCCATGCTGGTTTTTGCACATGCACCTCGTTCTCTGTCTGTTGCTCAGGACCTCTTCTGCTCGAGGACAAACATTTGCAGCTGAGAAGGTGACACTGGAAGGCTGTTGCCCTGGCCTTAAGCGCTATCTCTTCCGAGTCAGATGTCAGGAGTATCTGGCAGAGAAACCAACTCTGCTAGAAACATTGGTCTAGATTCCTGCCGCGGCACCACGCTCTCCGAAAGGATCTGTGGAATCTCAAACGAAGAAGCAGTAGGACCAATCTAGCCCACATTTTATGGCTCTCTTTAGACAGATTAGCTGGTGACTCAATTGGGAATCAGCAGAAAGTAAAAGGAAATGCTGTGGTGAAAGTTCACAGTAATCTGAATGGGAAAGTGACTCTACTCTGACCTTTGTCACACCAATGTTGTCCCTACAGAAAGCAAGTTTGCCTCTCAAATCACTCCAAGCAGCTTCCTGACCTGTCTTAGCACCACATTTTCCAATTCATGCTTTGGCATCTGAACAATGGCTGACTATTTCCCCAGTGTGAATAATGATTTTAAAGGCTGAATTGGTCTGCCTTTCCAACACATCATGATCAGGATGCTGGGCTACCTCTAGATCACAGATTTCATCTAAAATGCCTGTTCTCGTATTGTGCGTCTTACACAACCAGAACAATTCCACATTTGCCTGCAAGGCTTCCACCCTCCTACACTGCAATGCTTTTCTGAAGACCTGGTGCTGCCATGCAAGGTAGGGAAAGTGACTGACTGGCTTAACACTGTAGGATGAAAGAAACTCTGGCTATTACTACAACACTGTCCAGGATTTTTCAGGGTTACTTCTCGTTTTGAGCTAGGCCGAACATTTGAACTGATCTCCTACTGCAGTTGTTTTCCTTTTTGTAATACCTGGTGAATAATTACTGACCCAATTTCACTGTAGGTTTTTTTGTCATAAAAACAGCTCAGATTTTGAAAAAAGGTCACAATGAAAAGAGTTTTTTAATATGTTTTTTAAAGGGCATTCAAAACTTCTTGCCGCTCTGTACAAAACTAGCAGATGTATCAATGGTCAGAAGGAAAGCAAGATGAAAAAATGGAACAACAAAACAAGCTTTTGGCTTAAAAAAGCCCTGATTAAAGGATGTCAGTTTTGTCTCTTATAGGTAGTATCATAAGCTCTCACTAATAGAGGTCTTTGTTGATTTGCAATTTTCTAGGAGTTTTCAAATAGCCTAAATTATTTGAAAATAATAAAAAAGCTCTGATATGTTGTAGTCATATGACAAGCTTGTATTACTGTCCCACAAAATGAACATTTTTAAAAGTTATTGACTGAAAATTTTCTCCCAAATAAACAAATACTGCTGCAATTTTGAAAGCGGATGTTGCCACATCACATGTATTGTTTCATGGGAAAGACCATTTTCCAGGACACAAACCTTAGTGTAGTCTGAAGGACACCAAGCAATGGAGGTAACTTCTTGAGAGTGACCGAGGAGTATCCATGGAGGAAGGTTGGGCTCAGAAACCTTAAAAATTCCATAGAAAAACAAGTATACAGTCAGAAGGCATGCAGCCTAATACACATCTCTAAGACCACCTGTGAAGCATGTAAATACTTTCCATCTTCCCTGTATGAAATGCATAAATCAAACGCACTCTGGCTGTCATCATGATGCAACAACTGACAGAGCCCTAAGAATCAGTTCATGTTTCATTTCTAGAGGTGAAGCAGCTGGTCAGCACTGAGATGTACTGACTTGCCTGGAAACACTTGTTCAATTCCTGCTACACACAGGATTTCTGCCTCCAGAGTTGTCAGCCCAAAACACAACACAAGCATTTTAAGGTATTAAGTACCTCTACTTGTTCTACATAAGATGCTTAAATTTTGGGGAGCTCATAATTTGAATCAGGACAGGCAAATACATTCCCAATCACAGGTCAATGGACTAATAATAAAATGAAACTGCCACAAACAAAATTCTACAGATGAACCTTCACTGGCTTCGCACTAGCATTTGTGTGACTGTGCCTCCTCCAGCCAACCAGTTGCTCCAGAGATCCTTTTAAGAGTTCATAAAAAAGCTCTCTAAATTTTGCTCATTCAACTGATCTCCATTTCTCTTAGATTTTTATGAAGAATGTTTCTCCTCTTCTACAGTATTGCTACTTATCTTTGACTACAGCTCCTTTAAGTGACAGACAGAGCTGAAGCCAGCATTAAAGTGGCCCAAAGAAGAAAACACATGCATACACACACACCAACACATGCATACACACACCTCCCTACACACTTACAGAGATTCTATCCAAGTTTTCCTTGCTTTCAGCAGGCAATCCTTTCTGGAGCTATGAGTCACCATCATTGATGTGACATTTTAAGGGGAATTTATCAAGGAATTTGAATAAATGACTAAGTGAATGAACAGATCCTTTACTATGTGGGAAAAGGAGTAGGCATTACATACATACATAGGTTTCAAAGGAAGATGCAAGACGCTGGGAAAGGCTTTTGAGTTACACACAAGTTTTTCTCTTGTGGATCACCTCCAACAAAAGCCTGCAAAACTGCAGTTGAATATCCAGCTTCAGATCTTAGAAGTTGTTCTGATACAAAGAGGTTCATCCTAATAGGACACTTTTTTCCCCTGGCATAGTAGAGACAATCACTTGACCAAATAGCCACTAAATGCCTTGGTCAGAGTATTCTCTTCTCTGCTAAAACATGCAATACCATGGAAACAAAATCTCTGTGTAGGGAACAAACAACAGGATACCTTGGTGCAGAGAACACCTTCATTTACATTTAATAGCAGTCTTGCTATACACTCATAACAGCCACAGTAGCTGTCCAGTAGCCACTGATCACTGAAAGGAATGCAGAGTAAGAGAATTACCCTTTTGGGGATGCAGTGTTTTTATGCTATACTAGTGTAAATTAACCAACTATCCCCAAGATACATTACTGTGAAGTGAAGAGGGACGCACAGTTATAGCTGTGTCCACTGTGTTTGGCAGAAGACAGTTGGTCAGTTTGCACATGTCAAGTCAGAATTAGCCACAGCACATGCTGCTTTTTTTGTCTGATTTGACAGGATATTGTTGGGGAAGTGAGACCTATTGCAGAAAAGTTAAAAAGAGAAACCAAGGAAATGAGATTTTTTTTAGTTACTCTACTCACTGAAACAGTTGTTATATCCATTTTCAAGATGCCATATCTTGAAATGGCATATCTAGTTTTAGGCACCATGATACAGAAGCACGTACATTCCAGCTCTGAGACAGACCAAAGCATAAGTTGATCACCTTGGAGTGATCCGTATCAAAGGATTGAAAGAACAATGAAAGTACACATCTATAAATGGTATTGTATTATCACCAGGAAGGTATCTCAGCTAGGTACCATCTTTGCAGAAGAGGCTCTGCTCTTTGCTTTTAAAATCTTATGATTGTTAAAGAGTCAGTTCATTAATCAATGAACTTGTAATTTACAAAAACCAAACCAAACACAATAAAGCAAGTGTGCATTGCCTGGAAGTGATTTATATATGAAAATAGACTGAAATAGCATCCTCGTCAGCAATAACTTCTACCTACAGTGTTCTTTCTGAATTGCTCACCCAAACACAAACCTAGCACTGTTGCAAAAGTTTCTCAAAGAAATAATTTGAAAGGACAAGGTCTCTGCCTTTCATCCCTCTCTAGATCTGGAAAGCTAGCCCTCTTCATTAAGCTCCTTCTAACATTACCTGTTAATTGCACACGTAATATCTAACCATGTTTTTTTCACACCAAAATAAGTCCTCATCCCACGAAAAGATATGTATGTTTCAGAGTCAGTAAAATCTATCAACATTTACATTAAGAAGCATGGGATAGGACAGAGACAACTTTGTTGGAAGTCCTACTTTCCGACATGGCTATGAGATTAAAATAAAAGTAATCATCTGACGATTAATTTTATAAATACGTAATATGATCTGTCACTCATATGCAACAGCAACAGAAGCCTTCTGTATATTAATGCATATTAAATGTGCTTAAATGCTTAAATTTTGAGATGTAATGACATTCTTGAATACTCTCAACTGTGTCCCAACGTGTGTTCCAAGAAAGTATCAAAACACTCGAATGCAGAATGTGCAACTCAAGTTTGCACAGGCATTTTTGCTGAACTTGCACAAGAACATGAGGAAGGTTAAAATTATCCCACTTGGCATAGGAATAGTCATGCTACCACACTCCTGCTCCTAATGAGTAAGCAACCCAGCTGCTTACAAATGTTCTTCAAATCAAAGAGGCTATACACTCAAACTGCAGTCTCAGCAGGCTGACCTTCTCCTCTGCAAGATTTGTATTTTACTTTCAAACTCGCTGTAAAATAGGTAAACAAGTCAACATTCCCTAAAAATTACCCCAAACCTGAAATAGGCAGTCACCTGTGGTTTCTGTCTATTCTGCTTCTATAAGAAGTCTACTCTGTTCCCATATGGGTGTCCAGTATGGAGAACAGAACTCAAAGCATGCCTTATTCTGAGGTCCCTGCTATTATCTTGGTGACATTTGCATTTCCTACACGTCAGTGCAAGATGTCAAGTGACAAAGCCTCTCAGCTGTCAGACAGTGTTTTGGAAATTTGCTGAAGGCTCTGGCTGAGCACTTGCTGCAATACGAAGGCTTTAACTACTGTAAATTAAGCATAAGAAAAAGCTATGTCTGAAGCAAGACCTGGAAAAAGGGGAAGTGGGGGGGAAAAGTGCCCTTTAAAACAATTAAACTTTTAGGTTTCTGTTAATGAGTTCTATTGCTAAATATGAACCAAGCACTGTCTGTCTACTTGTCATAGCTGGCTGTATCAATAGGATTGAAAGAGGATTTTAATGCCCATTAACACAGATTAAGAACAGCAACTTGCAATAAGCAGCAGCAATGAGAGATGTACTGATGGCAGGAGGCTACCTCTGTTTTACATTAAAGTTACATCGAGCCTGGACAGCAACATACACACTCTGGGCACAGCGTGCCAGAGCTAACCCCACGCTGCTTTGAGGAGGACTGGGAGGCAAGGAGTGTCCTCCGTGAACAGGAAAAACAAGAGCAGCTCCAGGCTGCCTGCTTGGGTCTCACCCAACTGCCTCACCTTCCAGATGTATGCGTTGCAGTCACTCGAACCACTGACCAGGAACTGGTCGTCTGGGCTGGTGCTGGATTTGATGTAGAAGGTTGAATTTTGGTGCCCACTGAAAACAGCCACTGTGAAGAGAAAATTAAAAAAAGATGAATAAAAGCCCCACTCAATGCACAGCCCTGGAGTCAGTTGCACAAGGAGTGCTGATCTTACAGGCTTTTCCTGTCTAGCCACGAATCCTTTGGAGAAAGTGGTTGCATTGCTCCCTTGCTCTGGGGCTCCTGTGGCAGGAAGTTTTTATTATTCTGCGGGAGCCCTTCAGGGTTCCCAAACAAAGCAGTGGCAATTTAATTAAAGCTTTAGCATGACCTGGATCACAAGCAGACTCAGACATCACTTGGGCTGCCTCACTACTCTGGTTCAGGGTCCTTGTCTCTTCCTCCCTCGGCCGCCATCACCAGTCCCGTTACACCAACAAGGGCAGTCACAAAGTAAGGGCCTTCTTCCACGCAGGTGGCAAATTGCTGACATTCCCCCTACTGGGAGGACCTTCAGAGCCAGCAGCTGGCACAAGACTCCAGTGTGGATCTAGAACACTTAGCTGCACCATGTCCTGTTCTCTCACTGGGGCAGGAAGGGCAAATTTCTCAGCGTAGCACCAGGTGGGGCTGGCACTTCCTCCTCCAGCCTTCTTTTAGCAGTAGTTCTCATGAAGGAGACAACCCGCAGACCAGAGGACACATGGCTGCCTTTGTCAGTCTTTGAAAAATCCCTTAATTTTTTTTGCCCACAGATCTCTCAGTGCAGCAGTTACCAGACAGCAAATCCCCTCCTAAACCAGGCAGCAAGTCCTGTTACAGTGAGGATTTTCTGACGTCCCCCTCTGCAAAATAAAGCTGCTTCAATACTGGATAAAAGCAGTTGGAACAGTGATTAAATCTGGTGAGGGCGGAGAGAGGCACAACCTGCGGGCAGGCGCTGCCCTCTGTGGGAACCACCGCACACCGAGAGGCTGCACGTGTTCCATCCAGCTGGATGAACGGAGGTTGCTCCCTAGGTTTTATCGGCTGCACACAGAAGGCAAGAGCTCTGTGAGGAGGCTGAGGAGTGCTTTGGTGAGAGCCTGCTCCCATGAGGGAACAAGCCAGTGAGCCCATTTCCACATCTTGGCAGTGGCACCCGGGGTTAACCTCAACAACCAAGCTATTAATATTTACTAGTTGCACCACTTCTCCACTCTGGAAGCATTCCCACCCACCAGACCGCCTTCCTGAAGAGCAGACAGAAGGATACACTGTTCATTTAATTTCAGATAACTGAGAGACTGAGAAAAGGCAATGGAAAATACGTCATGTGTCTGATTGGAATGCATCTAACAAGTTTTGCCACTTTCTGAAAAGCAGTCACTGGCCTATGACAAAGCAGCTTAGTGTATCAAAGGCTGTGGGCAATCTTGTACATGTAAAGGTCACAGCTGCAGAGCTGAAGGAATCTAAAAATGCTGGGGATCCTTTCTCCCAGGAACTGTGGTAGAAGTTAAATTTAAAAGGCACCTTAAAATACCCAAATACAATGTATCAGGTGATCGTTTTATGTAGATTCATATCTAAGAGTCTGAGAAACCTGTGACTGCCAGTAAGCAGAAGACTCAAACTTGCTTCAGGTGGGTAGCAGCTGGACACTGGCCATTCCTCACCAGGGAACTACAGCCAACATGCAAACTACCTTCAGTCTCTGGGTGAACCAGTATCTGCACTCATAAAAGTTTTTGTGCTGTTAATTTTCCGTGGATGGCTTAACGTAAAATATGAATCTCTCCCATATAGCTTTAAGGATAAGAGCATGGAATAGGTTTCCTAAGTGTTAAACCTGGTCTCTGTCTCTCTAAGTCAGAGGGATAGACTTGCCTTTCTATGCTCTGTAATATCTATTTTTCGCAGCTATTTCCACAGATATGCTTACCTGGAGCGGTCTTTAAACTTGTCATATTGAACATGTAGATACTGTCATCAGTGCAGTTAGCAAACAGATTAGTACCAGTGGAATCCAAAACTAGGCTAGAATATCCTATAGACAAAGAGAGAAGTTCTTTGTAAGAAAAAAAATTTGGAAAACAGGAGTTCTCAAAGAAATGCCCAGAGAGTGAAATTTGGAAAGGATTTCTAACATGTATGAGATTGTCATTGGAAAGTGTGTATGTTTGACAGAGTGCTTGCTGAAGAAGGAAAGTTTCTAGAATAACATCTACATATTCTCATAACAATTCAGGGTGGTATTTAGAAAGGAATCACACCTTCAGAGTAGGCCAGTGATTTATTTGATGGTTTCAAAGAGATAACAGGAACAACCAAATGTAGAAGCAGGGATGAAAAATAAATGGAAACCCTTGTGCTTTGATACAATAAGCTATCCTCTGATTTGCTAGTGATTCAGATTCAAGAAAAATCTTTCCCTGCAGGCAAATTATTTCACAACCAGCTCTTTGAGGATTTCCCTCATGTCCTCGGGACTGACACTGACCATTACCACATCAAGACAGTTGATTAGACAAATCATCAGGAATTACTGTGTGGCATCAGAGCACTGTAAGGCACTAAAGATACAAAGAAGACAGAAAAACATGTACAGGTGTGCTATCCTTTTTATAACAAGCAGCTTCAAGAATAGTTTGACTCTGGACGGTGATAATGTAAAAACCCAGTCCGGTCTGTTGTCTTTGGAAGATATAATGCAAAGAAAGCAGTTCAATTTGAATTTCACTCATGTATGAAAAAGATTAGCTAAATTCCTTATCAAGAGCTCTACTGTTCCCTTATCTCCATCTATGAAAATGTACTACTGAAGCCTTTGCAAGTTTTTATCATTGGTGCAATACAAAAGTGGGGCACTTGCACTCTTAAACTTGAAAATTTGGTATTGGCAATCAAAATACTCTGCGGAGTTTGCCAGTCTGATCAATAACTGGCTTAAAAGATAAGAGATGTCACTGTCACTACTTCTTCGATTCACTTTGCACTTCAACAAATGCATCTCCAGTAACTTACCAAGTTTGCGAGTACTGGTTCCAGGGTAGCAAAAAGACTTGCAGGGCACCGGGTCCTGACGGTAAGCAGCATAGTTCTTACGCAAGTCCCATACTTTGATCACACTGAAATAGAAAAGCACACATAAGTGTCTTCAAAATTTCTCTTGCAATGCTGACTGGGCCTTCTAAGAGCACAGGAAGTCAGGCTGCTCATTCCTGAGGAGTGTCCAGTGCTAAGGAGACAAGAACTGAGCAGAAGCAGCGCAGAGATGTGCTGAAAGCAAAACAAGCGCTCTGCTGGATATGGACGAGGAGGCAGCACTGCCATCTGTAGCTAACACAAGATAAAACAAGAGCCTGCAAGCCAACTTTCTTCAACTAGTAAAAGGTAATACAAGGATGCCTTTTACTTCTGACATTTGTGAGAAGTAGTTTTAGTCTGTAGTTTTAAAAATTAAGTCTTTCCGTTTTTCCCTTGCTCTTGGGGACCAAGCTTCTGTCATGAGCAGAAAAGTCAATGCTATCTGCCCCAGAAAGGCTCTGAGCACATGGAACCTGCTAAAGAATTGAATCCAAGAGGGTAATTTCCATGCTTATCAATGAGACAGTTTGCTTGAGCTCCAAGATGTCGCAATGGATCTGGCACCTAAAAGAATGCATCTTTTGTAACTCAAGGCAATATTTTCTCAAGCACGCCTACACATATCCAGGCACCAAGCACCCACTCACATCACAAAACAGCTGTATAACAATAGTCTATGTGTGGTCTCAGAAGTCCATGAGAACAGAGAGAGAAAGATAAGAATTGCTCTCATTCTGCCCCATACCTAGGACACCAAAACGAGCATTTACCATATATGCACAATTTGTCCAGTGCTGCAATCTCCAGTAAGGAAGTATAGCAGCATTCAGCTTTGCCAATGCAAACTGACAGCGTAGCTGTTGATTCTACCTAGCAATAACTCTAGCCTTGTGTACTAAGTGATCTTAGAAAAAAAATCTCCTAATCTTTTTATGCCACTAAGAAGAGCACACAGACAAGGAAGCATCCTCCCTCCTTACCCATCAACAGCTCCTGCAGAGATAAGAGTGTGCTCGTCCTGAAGCAGCACCACAGTTACACTCTGCTGGAAATCCTTAAAAAGAAAAGAAAAAAGAACTTTATTTTCTTTTAAGGTCAGCAAGATCTTGCTGCTTAGTTGAAGGCCAAGTGAATACTGAGAAAACCTCCTCCCTCTAGCCACGCAGGAGAACCTGGAAATACCAGATGTCATTAAGGACACAACAGTCCTTCAAACACTCCCACCAGGGATATTGCTGCTGAGCAGTGAGTGTCTGGGCAGAAGCTTGAGGTTATACCTTTCAGGTCAGAGATAAGAGAGCTGCTTTTATCGCAAAGTTTAATAGATTAAATATTACCAGGTCTTATTCCAATAAGGCAGTAATTTGTCAGGTCACATTAGGGGGAGAAAAACACAGAAAAAAAATAAATACTACAACCCTCGCCATTTTTCCCCCTTCAAAATGCTGGCTATTCCTTTCCTCTCTGGGAAGAAAAGATGTATTTTCACACAGCATTTGCACAAAGTTGGCTTTGATGGCACATGGGTTGTTAGGCAACTAAACAAAGTCTAAAATTAGCCATAGCAAGTGACCATGACACAAAAACCTACTTCTGCAAAGATAAATGGAAGCATTTACCACATACAAGCCACATATTTCTCGCTATGTTTACTTAGGAAGACTTCTATGCATAACAGTGTCCCCAGAAGAGAGGTTTATGCTTTGTTTGTTCTCCAGATACCTACCACCAAGGGAGCAAGTCCTCTTAAGTTCTGCCTCTTCTTCTTAGGTTTAGAAGGAGTCTGCTTGTCAGTCACATTGTGTGCACCACTGATTTGTTTCACCTGCCTGTAAAATCCATCTGAAAGAAATCAAAGGCATCTCAATTAATAGTTACCATGCAATTTCCCTATCACTTTAATAAAACAGGCATCAGCTTGGAATTAGTCCTAAGAGGTGGCTGAGACAAACCTTTAAAATCATTCACGTATTCTGAAAACAAAAATTGTTAGTTATATATAAAACTAATAATATAATGCAAAAATTACAAAGGTCAGGGTAGCATGGACACTGAAACTAAAACTGAGCAGGCTGCCTTTAGAAATCATTACCCCTGGTTTGTTTTTCAGCATGCACCTGGTCTGGAGCATTCAACTCATCCCAAGCAGAATTGCACCCACAGTGCTTTTCTACTCTATTTTATAATTTTCTATTTAGTCTTTTGTCTGCTACTTCTCACTTTATGAAACTTACTGCTTTACTAGAGTAATGCAACTTTCTTACTTTTTTTTTCCCTACATGTTCCACTTCAATCATGTGGAGTCTCTCTTTTCCCCCACTTGTCCATTTGAAGAGCCAGGGAATCTGGGACAGATGGAAGATCAAGACATGTTCTGGCAGTGCAGGCAAGGAAGCTGCTCTGACAGAGCAGAAAACTGGGAAAAAACATAAGGGCATAACCTGACTGGGGAATAAGAAGCTCCAGGAAACAGAAAGAGAGGAGCAGAATGAGCTCACCCTTGCATTTACAGTAGGTCTTCCCACAATATATTCAGTTGCTGCCAGCACTCACAAGCTCCTTTGCTTCTGCTGTTCTTGCCTTCTTTCCCTCTCTGGCAGAAGGCTTTCCAGCTTTTCTTCATCCCTCCAGATGGCTCTGACCTAAGCAGTCTCTCCCAGCTCATCTGTTTTTTGTGCTGTCCTAACAGGGATGTATTCTGTACCCCCTTATCTCCTTACCAACACACAGGATATTATCAAGCCAGCATGTGTATCATGCAGCAAACCTGAGACTGTTACAAAGTGGAAAAATGCATCATACATAGAAGATATACCTATTCCATCCCTTTATGGTACCAAAGCAGTAGTTATGTGACAATCCTTCCCTTTTAATGAAGTTTTGCCTATATTGTAATCAAAAGCATTAGTCCAACAAGTGACTCTGAGCAGTACTTTTACACGAGATACCCAGCTTTTTTCATACATATCTGAAAGTTCATTTACCTTTCTTGTTGCATCTGGTATCCCAAACCATGATGTTTCCATCTCTGCCTCCAGTACAGAAGACAGCTGAGAGGGAGAAAAAGAGTGCTATTAGCTTCCAAAAGTGATAAATTAATTAACTGAATCCAGTACAATGACATCTGTGCACTCTGGCTCTTCTGCCTCAACACTTGGGATACCAGTCCTAGAAATACGAAAACCAGGCCATTGTTTTGCCATGCTTTTTGACTAGTTTTCTTACTTTTCCTATTCTTTTTTTTTTTTTCTAATACTCTAGAGAAATCTACTTATGAAAAGCATATTCACACACTTATGTATGGAAGTAGATATTCTATCTTAACTTTGCCCAAGATCGTAAAAGTGCAGATGTTAGCATCACAACACCATCGAGGTCCAGTAAGTTAGTTCTGCTTCTCTGGCTGGGTCCCTCCTCAGTAGGCCTGTGATATCTGTACCTGTCAGTTTCCAAAGCCCTTTTTTAGCCCTTAAAGTACTTTGCCAGAGAGAAAGAGGAACAAATAGGGAATATCAGCATTTACCTTTCTCAAATCTAGAAAAAGCAACTGACTTGAGGCTACACTGGTGACCTTTGCATATGCCAAGAAGCTCGCCGGCTCTCACATCCCACACCTTGGCTGTCTGATCTCCTGAAGCAGTGACCTTCAGCAGCAAAAATAAAAAGCTTTAGTCTTTTTCTGTACACAGTTGCCAAAGCATTAAAAACAAAGTTAGAAGGCAAAAGACTGCTTACAATCCTGTGTTCCCCTGGTACCCAGGCAAGGTCAAATACAGCATTTGAGTGAGCCTGCCATTCTAACAAGAAAACAAAAGTCAAGATTAGTTCAGTGCATTGCAGCACAATATTTTGCAGAAGACTAAAGGACATCAGACACTGAAATCAGAAAACTTGTCAACAGCTTGCTTAGGCATGAAAAACAACATAGAACAATTCACCTACTACTGCTGTTGTAAGAGCACATTCATGCTCCTACTCTGTTAAGAAGACTCAACTAAGTACGTGAAAGGATTTAAATACTGCCCACATTTATGTTTTAATGACTTGCAAAAATGGGATTCCAGTAAATCCCATACTTGCTATACCAAATGAAGATTACCTTCTACTCAACACTTACCTTTAAAGATGAGTTTCCTGGTAGCTTGAGCTTCAGTATCATAGAGTCTAACAAATCCTTCTTCATTTGCAACTGCTAGTACATGCTCCCAATTCGGTGCTGAAAATAAATTGAAACATAATATATTATGTAGCTAATTCATACTCATACCCCTGTTCTTTGTGAAGGGACACAGACTCTTTAAATAGAGTACACAGCAAATAGATAGCTGCAAAATAAACAGTATTTACATAGCAACTTAAATATTCAAAATGCAGAAATATTGGCAAGCATTTTTTCTAGATGTTCCATTCAGGAGTAACTGTACATGGGCAACCAAATGGCTCCAGGAGCAACTTTTGAGATAGTGGCCTCTTTCACCAGTCATAATCGTTCTCTAGTTATAGTTTTCTCTGCCTATGCTATGTATCATCTACAGCCTCCAGTAGTTTTCATGATCTGAGCTGGAAAAGCAGGAAGCTGCCTTGGAAAAACGTAAGAGCTCCCGTTGAAACTAGAGTACTAAGAATGAAAGAGTTTTGCCCTAAAGATCCAGGAGCTTCCATGTTTACTCCACTCAGTACATGCTCACGGTGGAGAAATGCTGTGTGTTATCAGCCTGGTGACATGCATCCACCTTTGGTTTCTACAAACTGTTCTCCATGCATCTTTTATCTATTTTGAACAAAGCCCAGTTTTTCACCTATGTAGCCTCGCACTGTCACCAAGAGGACATACCTTGAAACAGACACAGCTGAAACAAAGAGGTATTAAAATAAATGCTTTGTAGTTGCTTCTTTAAGGGAATACTTTCCATCAGTATATATAGGAGCACCACAAGCCAATGTATATCACATCTAGAAGCAAGTGCACTTTTACCAGCTCACTTTAAAACAAGAAAAGTCTGAAACCAAATCAAGAGACAGACTCAAACAGGAACAACAAAAAAAACTGACAGCAGTGCCCACACCCTGGCCTCCAAAAGGTTTTTCAGAAGGTGACTTTACCTGTAGAAAAGGTGCAGCCGAAAGGAGGGACCGGCAACCCCGTTTCCCCATAAGACAGGTGGTCATCCTCCTGGCTGCACTGGTAGCCATCTAAGAGATGCTGCAGGGGAAGCGGCGGGGAACGACCTGCAACGGGA